TCGAAGGAGTGTTGCTTCATCTGATGAATTAACAGCAAAAGTTTCTGATAGGATAAGATCGCAAAAGATACCAGATTAAGAGTCTCCATAATCCCACTAGAAATGTTTTCTCCTTGTCATCCAGCTCCAAAAATCCATCGGAAAACATTTCACAGATTATAATCCATGCAGACCTGTTTTTGACTCTTTCATGGTATAGGTATATTTCTGAGGAAATATCCCATATCTCTGGGAACCAACCCCTTTACTGCATCAATGAATAATTCTATATCCAAATCTTCAGAAGTTCTAGTAGCAGCCATCCTTTTTTGCGTCAATTTGCCGCAAGTGTGTACCAGCCGATATACAAACGAGTACTACAAAACCGCAATAGCGGCAGCGGTGCCGCCACGGTTCCGTAGGGACCTGCGGTTCAAAACGGTCGCCATTTGGACGCGCGGCCCCGCGGCGGCGCGCAGATGAATGTGCATTAACCCATTTACCTGTTAGTACTTTAAGCCGCAATTGCGGTGCCGCAGCGGCGATTGCCGCAAGTGTGCACCGGCGCTAAAAAGCGACCAAATAATTTCCGCGGTATTTTGAGACGTTGGTTTTGGAAAACGGTTCACATTGTTGTTTATGCAATAGCAGTCGGAAACGTTGAACATTACAACTGAAATTACAGATTGTATCTATCACGTTGCGGAACTAAGAAGCGAACTGAACGCGGAAATTAATTGTACAGAAAATAACCCACATCTTCGGTAAGTATTGGGTACCCATTTATGATTGCTTCATGTGAAATAAATACGTACACTTTGTCAGGATTTCGTGCGACTGAAGTAGCCTGCCTGCTTGCTAACTGTGTTGCAAGGAATACACAATTAGGCACTACACCCCGTTATGGCTTTTCCTGAGAGCAACTCCCAACCTCCTGACCTAAATTCTGAACGATGAAAACTGTAATGCGCGGTTGCATGCATCGTACATTTATTTGATTAATTACTATTGCTATTTAGTAAGACGCAATGTACCTACTCTTAACAAAATACCGGCAAGAAACGAGAATATTGTAGAGAAAATTCCTACTACTAAAACGTAGATGAAAAAAAGGACAAAAAGGGGCCAAGTCGTTTTCCATTCGGAATTTTTTAGTTTGTCATCCACGTCCGGCCGTTTATATAAATTACTGACCAAGTAGAACTTTATGTTCTTTATTAATTTGATTTACGTGTCTACGACGTGTAGATATATGCTCGGTCGTAGTTTTTAGCTCAGTGTTTCTATTGTCTTGTTTCAAAATAATATTTGTTATCGGTAATGGAAACCGAAAAACTTTGATGTATACGAGGTTTGTTCAAAAAGTGTCGCCAATTTTGTGTTTTATCAAAAATGATTTATGTATTTATGAATATCTATTTTGTCCCCCTCAAAGTAGTCCCCACCAGATATTATACACTTCTGCCAAAGTTTCTTCCAATCCTCGAAGCAGTTCAAAAATTCTTTTGTGATCTTGTTCAGTTCCGCCTTTGATGCCGTCTTTATCTCCTCAACCGCAACGTAGCGTCGTCCTTTCATGGGCCTCTTCAGTTTCGGGAACAAAAAAAAGTCGCAGGGGGAGATATCATGGGAATACGGTTGCTGCGGCATTATTAGTTTGTTGTTTTTGGTCACAAATTCGCGCACAAGCAACGTTGTGTGACATGGTGCAAAACCCAATTTTTGTTCTTCCACAAATTCAAAATTCGCGATACTTTTTGAACAGACGTCGTATGTGTACAAAGAAGTGAGCAGTTTCCTATCCCTTTACTGTTTTACGAACAATATATGTTTCTTTGTAATCGCGTTTCCAAAAACTGCTCCAACGATTTCGATGAAATTTAGAATGTAGGGGTTTTCGGCGGTAAAAAATCGACCTAACTGAGTTTCATTTCTAAGAAAATTCTTTTTCTCCGTGTTTTCACGTACAAAGCATCAAACTTGACTTTTCTCAAAATAGTCCTGTGGCTGGAACGTGGATCTACCGCGCCGGAATTCGCGATTTCTAATGCTACAATATGGCCAAATGGTCTAGCCTCATCACGCGTCATCATTTTCGGAGCAGTTCGGGTTTTCGGAAAAGTCATTACACTCATGTTTAGGGTTGCCACGCGTACTTTATTGTAAACTGTGTGTACGTTATATTTTACAAGACACATAAAGTACGCAAAAATACTTTATTAAGGCCTTAAGTAAACATCGTAATTTTGTAAGCGATTATTCTAAATTCAGAGTATTTTTACATCAATAATATTGCACAGAAAAATGGCAAGCCATATTTACGGAACAACCTGATTTCCCAAATCTGTTCAAAGTAGTGTCACTTTTGCTATCAGTTCCGGCCACATCAGCATTTACACAAAGAGTATTCTCTGTTATGAACGCAAAGTGACGGGACGACAGGAATAAAGTTTCATTAAAACTAATTAAAAATGAACTTTGAGTTTACTTAAATCTTTGTTTGTTATGTTTAGAGGCTATTAATGTATTTAAGAGCGACAGCAATTTGTTACTGGCTGCTAGGTGTAACAAAAAATATGTTTTTAAAAACAAAAAATTAAATACTTTATTTTTATGCTGAGTACTTTTTTTTTTAACCTTTTAGTCGAGAAATACTTTATGTAAAGCCTGAAAAGGTGGCAACCCTACTCATGTTCGTATATATCTCTGAGTGGTGCGAGGTGGCTCATTCTATATCTTTTTCATGTACCTTCTTCCCTTATTTTTCGGGAATACTAATCAGACATAATCCAGGTAAAATACACTTGTTCTGTCATTGCACTGTACCGCTATTGCTTTCTTTTGCGCATTCAAAACTATTCAAACTTGCGCATGACGTTGCAATAAGTGGTAGGATACGTTTATAAAATATCATAAGTAATAGGGATTTGAAGTAATTTTCATGAATTTGAAGTATCGTTGATTCAAAAACTTTTAAATCACTAAAATTCTTGTTCTCCAAGCGATTAAAGACGTTTGTTTGTCGGCATTAATTTTCATTGCGCTACTCGAGTAACGTATTTGTTTTTGTTTCTTCGTTTATTAAAGCCATAAAGGCTGTAGTAATTTCGTATTATGAACGGTCAACATCAGAACAGAATTTCATTTCTCTGTTCGTTACTAAGAGAAAACGTTAAACGGCGAAAAATATTATAGGGGAAGTATTTCAGAAATCTTCCACGATTGATTAATTAAAGACTGTTTTCAATTATACTACACATATCTAGGCGATTGGGGTTGAAATATTGGAAAGCGTTCTTCTATAACATGCACATATAGGTTCTAATTTTTTTCTATTTTATCAATGCCTTGAAATTTTGAAATTGAATCGTTATTATTACTACTAGTTTTTCTCTTCCCTCGGGAACAGTATTTTTTTGTTTTTCTGGATAAAAGGTATCCAATGCTTTTTTTTGTTGGTACCCCTGAGTTGTTACGTTTGCTGACATCAAATTACTATATATAACGAACGTTAACTTATCATACCAGTGTTTCATTTAAAAAGTTTTTAAATTTGTCAACAAATTATGTAACGGGTATTCGTGAATGTAATTATTGAATTTGGTTGCAGCTGGATTCGGCTAACCTGCTGGAGACGTCGTGTTCCACACAGCTACCCTGAGAGAAAAGCTTGGACTGCACAGTAAGTCTTTTTATTATTCCCACAAATTCTTCACCCCTATCAGTCATTGTGCTCGAAACTGTTAGCACGATTGCTTCGAGTGGTCGAAATTCACTTTTGTGAACAATTTGTTTAATCACTTTATTTGTGTTTAAAATTAAATTTAATGGAATTGTTTGTAAGTAGGTATGCAACACATTGTACACTTCAGCATAAGAATTTGCTGATACTAACTACGTAATACCACTTTGCCCTGTGCTTACAGCACTCATAATTTCTTTTATATATAACACTGGCGACCCGCCCCAGCTTCGCACAGGTGTAATGCTGATACTAAATATATTTTTGTTTTGTTTAGATTATTATCGAGAGGGGAAATCTTAAATAGACAACCCCTGAACACATTAAATATACTACAGAATGTCTTTGTATACAACATTCACAGTTTTTTTGTCATTAGACAATACAAACCGGCCTCTCGGTCTGTAATATCTTCGAAAATATTCATTTAAGTTACATGCTGTAAAGGGCCATATTGATCTATATTAATGCACAATGTATTTAAGGTACTTAATTGGGTAAGAATTAATGCCGTGTTGCTTAAAATCGTTTCGTAAATAAGTCATTACTTCTCATAAAAAGTAAAGAATAAAAAATGGTTATTGTGGGTTATTTCTAAGAGATAGACATATACCATCACGGACTTTTTTGTAGACCCTTTTAAGATGTACAATATTGTAGTACATTATTTTGATCTATCTCGTAAGGTTCAGCCAGCGTTTGCAATGTAAGCGCAAAAAAATGTGTTTTACGACATCACGTTGGAAACCTCTAAAATTATCAGTGTTTCTCTACTATATTATGCATGTATTATAGATGTAAACTTTCCTCTTGAATCACTGTATCCACTGAAAAAAACCGCATCAAAATACGTTACGTAGATTTAAAGATCTAAGCTAACATAAGGACAGACAGCGGGAAGCGACTTTGTTTTATACTTTATAGTGAAGAGATAGTGATGATTATACATAATTGCCTGACTTGAAAATAAATATATCTGAAAATGATAATAGAGAGACCTAATGGTGGAGTAGAGCTCGTAAATAATCTTCAAATGAATATTCCTACTTAGTGTCCTGTAAGAGAGAAGGTTATTCTGTAGAGGATAGTGCCCTTTTGATTAATACTTCGCAGAGGATTGCGATCTATTTGAACATGATTCAGTGGAGGTTTTGCGTCGAGGGTCTATTGTTAAAATTGACCACATTCAATCAAACGTTGTAGCCTGCCCGCATTCCCTGACGTTATTTGTGCAATGCAAATAGATGAGAAATCATTAATTTATTGAACGAGCACTCACCGTCAGCCTGGAGTAAAGGGTGGTCATTAATATGAGGCTTTTGGGAACGTGTCAGTTCGTCGAGCACCGGGCCGCTTAGATCGCGCATGGCCCCGACGAGAGGGGCGGCCCACTACTCTCGAGCATCTGGTATTCCCCAATGTTCACTGTTTCGTTTTCTCTGAAACAAAATAAAGCCATATATAACACCTTACAAACGTCAGACATTCGTTTTAGTTGGAAAATTTATCTAATTTTTAAATTCATGTTATGGCACGGTAGGTACAGGTACAGGCCATGTGCCATGTTCTTGATTAATAGAAAGAAACGGTTGCATGTACATTACCACATACTACGTTATTTATTTACGCGAATCTATTTGAGTCAGTTGTAAATCCCTTGATGCTTACGTACCTACTGGGTAATGATAGAGTCGCATTATTTTTATAATAAAGGTGTGTGTATTTACGAAGATGAAAGTAATAATATAACCAACATTTAAAAAAAAATAAAAACCCAATTACTAAAAGGACAGAAACAACATTTGAGTATCAAAGTAAATCAAAAATCTGTGGAAAATCAATCAAATATGATAACAGTCGGAGACATTAACTTTCTTTTTAAGGAATAAATTCCTTCCCGTTTAGGTATTAGTAAACTGTATGAACTTAATCGTGTGAATAAACAATGAACAGAAGCTGTATACCAACTAATTTTGGTCTCTCCGACTGTCATAAATTCTCAAATTTTGCACACACTCTTAAAAGATTCATTGAAGTCCCTCAGCTGTAACCTACGAGTACGATTTATTGATTCCATACTATTTAGATCAATTTTGCTAAATACTGCGCTAATCTTCGTATTTCTCTAAAACTAGAACATCCCACGTCCTTAACTATCTTTCCATATTGATAAAAATTAAATGTATCGAAAAAGTTCATGGTGACAGTGACTAAAATGACTGGTATGGTGGTATTTGTTTTTTGTAAATGTTTCAGAAAACATAACCTATCAAAGTTTAGAAAATATGCAGTTGAAAATTTGTATTCAAAGAGGTAGGTCTTTTTTTAATAGAAAAATAGTGAGATGTCCCATATAATTTCTAAAGCGACTGANCCGTGGATTCAATTCAGCACGTAGATAAATGGACTTGGATTCTTGAACATATTGCATTCCACTACATGCAGGAGTGTATTACAGATGGCGTTTACCGCGGTGTTTGAAGGATTTTTAGAGTATACCAGTCGGGGTGAATACTGAGTATAAAGAGGTATAAACCTGCTCAGTATTTTCCAGTTGTTTGATCCCAAAATTGCTGACTTTTAATTAAAGATCCTGATTAAATGAAGTCTATAGCAATAAAAACCCTCAACAAAAAACAGTAAACGAAGGAAAAGACTAGCTTGACGCTCGGGGAATTTGATTGGAAAGGAAAACAAAATGATGTTTTAAACCAGCGATTGCGTTTCCGAGGCTTAGATTCTCATTCATAATACGTTATTTTCCAGTTGATGTCTTAATAATCTTCAAAAAACGGCTTTAAAAATCGCTTTGAGAAGTCGTTTAGTAAAGTAATAATATCCGATTGTTCAGACTGCTTTTTTAAGGTGTTGAAGGTTTACCCCAAATAAGTTTATTAACAGTTGATTTCGTTTTCAATTGCGAGAATAATAAATGTAAGCCTCTTTGTCTCTATAAAGATATTCAGTCATCATTCTCCAACAAGGACACTTCACAAATGCCAATAAGGTGGGGATGCGATCGATTTTACGAGGGTGTCTTTTGTAACAATTAATTCGTCACTTCTCATAATTATTAAAGGAAGGTAGCTTGAACCCTTATTTAATTAAATAAACCGACTTGATATCTCGATCCTTTTTGGAGCACAAGGAAATAATCACTTTGAGGATTATTTATCAATATCCTTGAACTGAGGCACCGTATATTGTAACGCCGCAAGGTGGAAGGAGATCGTTGAGTTACGTGGCGAAATGTGACAATTGGTGGTGGAGGGGGTCGTGTGTATGTGCGTAACTACCCCAAACACTTATTAAGCATTTCATTTTAAAATGATCATTAAATTCGTAATAGTGTGCTCATTTTAAATGTCGTTTTTCCTGATGTGAAAGGTCGTTGTTATTTTAATCTTTTACGCAAGCGTAGTAGATTTATTCTTATATTTAGGTGAGCTAAAAACATGTGTAATCACAATTTTTCAAGTAACGGCAATGGTCAAGTGGTATCGGTGGTTGTCTTCTGCGCAGGCGGGCCCGACTTCTAAACTCGCTCGATGCTACAGCTTTTTCCCCAACTGATATTTATAAAACAATGAACTGGAGGATCCGTGACAGTAAAATGCAAATTACATTTCAAATAGTAAAAGTCTCAATCGTTGGTCATTAAAGAACCTAGAGCAACAGCACTTCTATTTTCGTTATGGCGTTCCTCCAGACTGTAACCTTATGATTCCCGGGCGCTTTATAAAAACACAAATAACCATTTATTTTTATGATTAATTGACAGAAAGATAAACAAAAAGAAAATCGAAAAAGTCTAGCACAAATAGACGTGACTTCAGTAAAGAATTTCTGAACTTTTTACTATGTGTTTTGTGGGTATCCCAAAAAAAGCTGATGACTTCGCGATTGTTTTATAGTTACTTTAAAAGTCGTTCTTTATAGTACGAATCAAAAAAAAAAAAAGTCTAATAAACGTCGACATACCTTTGATCCTATTTCTCCTTGATGGAGGGCTATTGGTGAAATTCACGGACTTTTGTTCGGCCGATCAATACTGAACTTGAAGATTAGAATGGATACCACGTATTACGCCTAAACGTGGGATGAATAGTGACTGACCATTTGTGTTTTGTAACCCTGTTTTCATAACCTTGAGACCTCCTTTTAAATTAAGGAAGGAAGGGACCCAAAGCTATTTCGGTCAGAGGAAGGATGAACAATGAAAAATACCATTCGACTAGTTCAGCCCGTCCAAATTTAAATGGTGCATGCATGCTACTTACGAGAGCCTTTGCTCAAATAATACTGTAAACGTCAAAATTTTAGGGTTAAAGTGAACCGAACAAAAAAATTCATGATGGTGAGTATTCTGTTGAAACTGCCAGATGCGGAACGGGATTGGATCTCATCAACACGTCGCAGACAACTTCGACAGCATACAACTGCAGCTGTACTTTTGTTCAGATTTGGTAAAAAAAAACTGTTGGGTGTTTTATTTCTACCAGCTAGTAGTGCTAGTAGGCGGGCTGTTCCTCCAGACTACGTGGGAAGGTAGGACGGAGGGCCCTCTTCAGCCTCCTTTCAGGAATTGTGGGTATGGGTGGGTGGTGGTTAGGGTGAGAAAGTTGGGACTGACGAAATGAAGACAGAAGAGAGTGAAAGATTATCTGCAGTATATTACTGCCCCAGCATTTACCTAAGTGATCCAAGGAAACCACAGAGAAACTTGGATCAAGGCAGACGCACCCGGAATCGAACCGGCATCCTCTAAAATGCTAAGCAATAGTCCTCTAGGCCACACCGCTCGGTTTGGTTTTAGTAATGTGCTTATCACTGATATACTAAGCTACGCAGTGGATTCAGTTCAGCAAGTAGGTATCCGGCTATGTAAATGAATCTTGTTGAACATATTGAATTCCACTAAATGTAGCATTGTACTACAGATGGCGTTTACTGCGCCGTTTGTAGAATATCATAAAACACTGTCTCAAGGTAGCAGAAAGAGTCAGTCTGTGTTCTGTCGAAGCTTTCTTCTTTGGTTGATTTTGGTAACGTTCCTGTCAGTATAAAGATTTTATACAGTGGGTTCACTCCTTTGATCTGCCTAAAAAGACCGACTTTTTTTGCAGGTTATCTTAAAATAATTTTATGTACGCTGAACTGTCATAGGCGGGGATGGTTCAATAACTTTGCTGAAATTTTAGATACAAAATGTGTTTGTTACTGTGGTTTTACGATGACACCCTGTACAAGCTTGCCCCTGCTTGGCGGGGAACTCGTAGATAAAGGCGTGAAGCGTCAGCAGGAGAGGGATGTATGAGCGTAGTTGGGAAGTGAATCTACTGTACAGAATCTTTATACTGTGATATGGTTAGCTACGCCGTGGATTCAATTCAGCACGTAGATAAATGGACTTGGATTCTTGAACATATTGCATTCCACTACATGCAGGAGTGTATTACAGATGGCGTTTACCGCGGTGTTTGAAGGATTTTTAGAGTATACCAGTCGGGGTGAATACTGAGTATAAAGAGGTATAAACCTGCTCAGTATTTTCCAGTTGTTTGATCCCAAAATTGCTGACTTTTAATTAAAGATCCTGATTAAATGAAAACACCCTGAAATTTGAAAGTAAGAGTATGATTCAATTCAATCATTTAATTAAACGTTCTAGAAGCTACGGTGTTTTTCAGAATATAAGACCCGGTCTTATAATTTTAATTTTGCACTCGAAAAATGCACTAGGCCCTAGTTTCGGAGTAGGCTAAGTGGGAAGAATAAAATAATCAAACTTTTTTTTACTATTGCCACTAGGATAAATTGACAATCTATGAAAAGCTCTGACCATTTTCGTAACGATTTTGAAAAATTTTGCAATACTGCAAAATGATTAATAAAAAACATTAAAAGTAGTCTTGAAAAAATCCTGTCGCCTCTATAAACCACCTACTTGATTTTCCAAATATTTAAAATGCAGTTACTTGACTTGATTTTGATTGATGAAGTAAATAACTAAAACGCATGCACTTTGAAGGAGAGTACTTTGTAAGGATTATTAGGTTAATCTAGACATATTTCTTTTACGTGAACTCATCAATTATTTTGCCAGAATTTACTTGATATTTCATTATAATCATAAAGGCTTGATTATTTCTCGCTTCACCCTTTTGCACAAGATAGCAATTCGTCATGGTGAACGCATGATCTCATTCGTTGGTTATCGTCTTTAAAGCTTCGACCTTAATTTTGTGTTTCATACACCACTTAAATCCAAGTTCATCGTAAATGACACGAGCGGTTAAGTTTATATCTGGCATAACACCTTGTGTGCGACGGCATCTAATGACGGCAAAGTGAGTGTCTATTAAAGTTTTATTGGCACATCGTCGGAAAGAGAATTCACTGTAAGAAGCTTCATAACGATGCATTTTTGTCGTTTTAA